AACTTTTGGGAAAGCAAGGCTATGTAAAATTCAATGGAAACGTCAGCTCAACTCATATCATTGTGGGAAATCCTACTACCAGTTTTTCAGCACCTTACACGAAATAGGGTGAATACATCTCATTACACTAATTTATTGGTAGTCTTGAAACCCTACCTTCATACACTTTAATTCCTGTTTACATAAATTTACGTAATTATATTTGTTCATTAATTTACTTAACAATAACCATGCAAAAAATATAATAATTTTGTATAATATAAAAATTAATGCAAAAATTATAGTTTATGAATGAATTATTGTAATTATCATACTTTGTTTTAGTCATTTAATTGTCTTACAAATATATATGCGGCTTGTTCGTCTTGATGGCTAATGTCAGCTGACTTAAACGGATAACTCCTTCATCACACGATCCTTGCGTCCTATTCGCCTACTTAATGCAAGGCTATATTTTTTGACTTCATAATTCTTTTCATATTTTGATTGTTGCAGTCTAAGACTTAACCTTGTCCTTCTATATTCTCCATACGGTGCTTTTATTTTTTACAAAATTTGGCGTCCCTCTAAAATTCTACCCGGTCTACTTCCTTAATTTTTTTACTCTAATCTTTTATACTTAACTATATTTTATGTGTTTTGATTTTAGACGGCATTATGGTCAAAACATTTCAAGTTTATCTTGGTGCTTATGGCAACGAAAAAAGCAGAAGCACAAGTAGTATGAGTACAAACAGCAGTAGCAGCGAAAGCCATTCTTGCTGTGACGACCGTACCTACAGTTGTGTACATTGTAGAGCACACCTAGCCAGACATCAGGACCTTATTTCAAAATCTTTCCAAGGTAGTCAAGGTCGCGCCTACCTCTTCGACACAGTTGTAAATGTGTCTTGTGGGAAGCCTGAGGAGCGCCTGCTGCTAACAGGTACCAACCTTTTTATTTTTTACAAGCTTTTTTAACTTATAGTGGTAGATTCTTTTCACACTTCATCTAGTAATGGTTATTTTTTGACTCGTATACGATTTTATGTTTATGCTACCTTCGATTCATACGGTATATATATAGTCAAATTATCTTGTGAGCTTTACATTTTACATTGTAATATATTAAATTTAATAATACTTTGACTCCAGGCATCTTGCTATTTTTGCGAACAATGTTAGACATGTTGTATCTTTAAATGTTCTAGCTATGAGACACCTTACAAAAAGTATGGGCTTAAATTAACTTTCTGAATGACCTGGTTACTTATTACATATACAAGTAATTTAGTCGAGTTTAATAGCAAATACGACTTTGCCTCATCCGCAATCCCACTACAAAATGTGATGTGGGAGGCCTGGCCATCCTTGAAGTTCACGTATGCTCTGTGGCCCACTGATAATCGTGGAAATCTGACTTAAGGGTAACGTTAAATGTATACGCTGTGCAGCCAGGGATCGGTTCCTTTTAGTAAATTTTCGCCATTATGATTTTCTCTTTGCTCAGTAATAAATGCGTATCTCCTACCTAACTTCAATTGTCCTTGCTTTCATTTGTTTCATGCTTGATTCAATTAACCTTATAATAGGATATTTTTGCACTTAAGGTTCTCTTAATCGATTTAGCCTGATCCCTTTTTATTATGCTTTGCAATTAAGCCTTGCATAGCAGTAATGTTTGTTATTTTTATGGTCTAAAGCAGATTATTCTTCTAGATGCCGTCATGAAATTTTTAGTTGAAGATATAATATTGTTCGCCTAAATGATAAGACCATGATGGAAGCGCATATTCCAATAATGGATTACTAAGACGTGTTCTTTACCTTCCCCGTATCATGAATGTGCTAACTAAGTGACTTGTTCCATAGCGAGGCGAATGATGCATTCTGGTCCATGATTGTAGCCACCTAACTAGTTAATAATCTACAACGGTGGTTATTTAAAGCTTCTTAGGTGAAAATTGATACTACCTACTGGTTTTCGGATTTTTGGGAGCTAGCTCCACTTGAAAGGAATTGTGCTGCAGATAAACAATCCTACCACTCATTGTTTATTTATTTATTCTTCCAATTAAGTTCTAAAGTCTGATTTGCTTCTACATTTTTAGACATGTATTGAAAATTTGCTGGTTTTAATCCATTGGTTGAATCATCTCATGGTTACATGCCCTTATAGATCACATTCTCGATTTCTTTGAATTTTTAAAACAGAAATAGGGTTCGATTTGTCTTTCTGACGCTTGTTTTG